TGTTTTATGCTAAACACTTATTTTACTCCTCAGTAAGTATATACAGACATGACAGACATTTTTACTTCATTTTTACTTCTCATTCAGTTTGAAGTGTTAACTGAATATTGTATGTGTGAAAAGACTTGTATTTAGAGATATTCAAAGTCATCATCTCATTTTAGGCACGATCCAAACAGGCTCTAGATACCATCCACTTAAAATCGGCAATATCTTTTCAGACTTTTGTTTGCTTGTTTTTGTTTAACCATATTCGATGCTTAAAATGTAAACCACATGCATGCACCAGAGACTTGAAGAAATAACTAAGATTCCAGAGAGCACATTAGATCAGTCATTTCTAAGCACACACCTGTGGGTGCTTGCTTCATTTTACACAAATCTTAGTGGACCTTCACTTATCCACACTATGATTTGCTCTTGTTTAGAGCTACAGTTATGATAAACTAGTAGTCTGTGGCATCAGTCAATATGGACCTCTCCCCTGCCCTCCAGTTCAACCAGTGAGCCATTTTATTTAAAAAACACCCAAAACTTCTGAAGAGACAAGGAACTATATTACCTCTGAAGTCATTCTTAGCTTCTTCATTTCTTTTTTAGAAATGCAAGTGATTTTACATTTGTCTACTCTGAAAATATAGCCCTGAAATTACAATAACTGAACAGCTGCTAAGGCAACTTAGACATCTAAATTCCTGTATAGAACAATCGCTTTCTGAATATTGCTTTCAACTAAATTAAAAAATCCAGCACATACTCACACTTTGTCAAGGTAGGAGGGCCTTTTTTTCCTTGGGGTCAGCAGCACTGTCACAAAGATGGTAATGATAAAAAGAGCAAGGACTGCTCCAATCACAGCCCCTGCTACAGCAACAGAAGATGTCTGCTTAAATGGCACATCTGCAATGTGATAGCACAGATTACACCTTTCAGAAGTTCACACGCTTTCAATACTCAGATAAGCTATTCCGGCACTGCCATTAGAAATCTTTCTTCTTTCCATGACCAAACAGAAAGCCTTGGGATGCACTAGCATTCTTGCAGTACTGGCTCTGGTCATCCAATCAAAAAACTGGTTGAGGTAGATCATGAATCATTAATGTGATTTCCAAAATTTCATGAACTACTTTTAATACATACTAGCTGCATGCTTTCATTTTCAATTTCAAGGCAAGATGAAGTTACAGAACACACGCTTTGCACTTACAAGAGCAAATGAGGTGTTAATTCAAAGAGCTAGACAACTATGGCTTTATTGGCCATCTTTAATGCCACTGAAGGCTGCAACAATTCAATATGATGAATCTCAAGGTCTCAAACTTGCACCAACAGGCTTATCAAGAAGTTGCACCATTGGAATAATTTACATTAGCTTCATTAAAACTTCTACCTGTAAAACGTGAGTAGCATACAGAAATAATGCTCTAATCTACATCGATTACTGGACCAGAACGATAATAGCAAAGTTTAAAAATAACACACCTCTATACTTGTAACATATTTCTAGTCCATTTTACTTCAGGTGTTTTCCTTCAGAAATAATCATACACTGAACTTCTCCAAACACCACACAACCATCCTCTATTTAATCTCTCACCAGGGGAAATTTTAGGAGCCCTTTCAGCTATATATTCTGTTCACAAGTCAAAACCTCAAAACTATGACATGTGTTTTATTGATTATTCATAATTCTCATGTTGTTCTGCCTATATGCTAGAAAGCTGGACAAAGTAATCAATCATTCTCATCCCTCCTTTTCAAAGGAAAAACAAACAACAAACCAAACCACCTTATTTTCAACCTGATAAAGGAATTCCTGTCCTCTCACTGTATACGAAAGACCTAACAGCAATACTCCCCTGGGATCACTCACAGCTACTTTTAAATAGCTTGAACAAAACAGAAATAACAATTTTGTGACTTCCTTAAAGTTAAGGGATAAAGTCATACATTAACAACTTGCAGGAAGCTAATTCACTCCAGAAGATTAATGTAACATATCACCTTAATTGATCATTGTTCTATTTTACAAAACAATTGTCTTGGCATAAGCTCCATTGGTCTGTCAGATACTAGCCTATATACAGAAGCACCATAATTGCCATTTTCTCCTGAAGAATGTGCACTTGAATCAGTGGAAAGTCCACTTAACCACTGCACTTTAATTGGCTTCAGTTTAGTTTACACTGGATGCCCTCTTGTTTACATGGAAAAGTTGCAGGTAACTAAAATAGACTGTTAGGTCCAGAATTCATGATGAAGCTCCGGTCTTGTGATTACGACCTCGCTAGAAGAGTTTCTTGATTATTTCTTACTGTACTAATTTTACAGTGACTTTTTATTTTCTGGTAAAATGTGCTATAATGTTGAAACATCACAAGTATTATACTTCCAATGAAAGTTGAGCTACTGAATCCCGTTTTGGGTGAGATGACAACAGCCACCATTTACCTCTGAACACCAGGAAAAAATAGCAATATCCCAGCAAATGAAACAACATACAGGAACTGAAGTGCGATTACCACAGAGCTCACTTAATTTGGTTTTTTAAATTGCTTTGGCAAAAAAGCAAGCACAAAAACTCTCTCATTCTAACCAGAGGAATGATCAGAAATCCAGACTACTGTGCCAAGCTGAACAAGCCAGATGGATGGCACAGTATGGATGGTGCCAGCTACACAGCATTTTAACCATCAGTTGGTCAGAAATAGATGGGAAATAATTTACTCTGAGAAATATGGTTAAAGCAGAGCTACAGCAACTAAAAGCAGAAAAAAATAAGAGAAGTTGTGGGGTTTTTGGTGTTTTTTTTTAAAGAATGTGAATCTTAGACAGCGTCAGCTGTGCTTGAAGTGCAACTGTTCGGACAGCAGCTCTCCCTTATTTATCATTCTCAAGGTTCATACATTGTAAAGTAGATCCTAGAGATACTTGTTTTATAAGCTTAGGGTCTTCAAGAGGAAATGCCAAAACACCCATCTTAACCTAAATACTTTGTTTCCTTCTACCCAGCCTCTGGTTTTATTTTGCTTTTCCATCTTCTATTTTAAGTATATATTTGTCAAACATTTTTGAACACTACCTATGTTTCAGAACATTAACAAAAAGTTTATTCACACAACAGCCATTTGTACTTACAATCAATTCTTTTTACAATAGACATAACGTACAAAACATTGCAACACGCGTAAGCCCTATCCCTATTATCAACTTCAAAACCAAAACATTTCAACTTCTTAACCCATAAGGAATTAAATATATATTTTTCTAAAAATCAAAACCAAAAACCCACAGAGACACAAGCAAGATATCCCATGTGGAGAACAGGTTTATGGTTCTGTTTATTTCCAAGTAACACCATCTTTTAAAGATGATCTATCAAGTATTTTTTATTTGAAGAGAGGTATGATCTCTATTCCAGAAATAATTTGGACCAGAACCTTCTGCTAGAAATTCAACTTCTTTCTTTGCCTTTGCACTCAAACTACAGATACACACAATATCATTTGCTGTTCTTGAGACTTTGGTCAATTACGTATCAGTACTCCATTAACCCAAACATGAACTTAAGTTTTTTAGGGATGATTTTCATTTGTATTTCAAATAAAGCTGTTGTCCTAATCTTTCTTCAAGACGTGCAGTCATATGCCATCAGTGTATTGTCTACAGCGCTCCACATAACTATTTTTGTGAAGCTCTAAATGCTGTAAGCTACCAAAGATCATGAGGATAGAAAAGAACTTCCAGCACGAATGCTCATGAAGCAGCTATAATCACACAGCCTATTTCATTTTAAAGGTAGCAGAGATTTTTCCCTTTTCACGTTTCAAATCCTAATAGCCTCATCAGTTTCATTTTCTTGAGCTAAACACTTAAATAGCACTTCAAAGAATATACTATTTAAATGATTAATTTATCATTGTTCTGCAATTTCATTCCTCCCTACATGATCAGCAGAATTAGTGTGGTAAGCCTGCTCAAGACAAAGTAGAAGTACTTCAGATGTCAAATGAGATGTTCTACATACAATGTCATTTTTAAGAACAAGAACATGAACGTGTTGTTAAATCAGTAACAATTATTTGCAGGAAAAATGAATCCACTGCGGTATAAAGACTGCACATTTTATCTAAACTCCTGTTTCATAGATTCTGTAGTTTCACCATCGGAGAGTGTGTTTTCACTACATGAAGTAGCAATGCAAGTGTCCACTTCCCTACTAATAACCTGAAATCCTAGTTACTCTCTTCAAAGCAAGCATTGTAACTTATTCAGAAGCAGCGTAAAACCGCTGTTTTAACTTCTGGTCATAAAAATTCTAGCAAATGCTTTGACACCTCTTAGCAAGCTTAATGTTTATTGGCACCCAGGAAAAGAAGCAAGTTCGCTTTAGCCTCCAGCTTCAAAATCTATTACAATTTTTTTCCTAGTTGTGTCCAATTCTCTAACTTTCAAATTCAATGTCAAGATTCCCAAAGACTCAAAAACGGGTCTCAAATTGCACCCTGTGTACTTGCAAAAAGAAGCTTGTATTCATTAATTAGTTCTGACATCCTGCCAATTACAAGCCTAACAAAGTATCTTACTGTATGTATGTATACACACACTAGCATAAGCTTTAGAAATTCATGACTAAAAAACAATTTCTCATCTTATTCAAAGACAAGCCTTTGACCTGTTTACACAGTTACTCCTCAACATCTTGTTTATAAGTTACTTTCAGTGCAATGACTTCTTAAGTACATAGTTACAAGAAGGCTCATTAAAACGCTAAGAGGTATTCATTTTTGTGCAGAAAAAAAACTAAAAATAAAGCTTTGATTCTGCTGTAACTCATTTTAACTGGTAAAGTATTTGCTATACAGAAGCATTAAGTTTACCATGGATGCTATCTAGGTTGGAGTAATTCACTTAATTTGCAAAGTGAATGCCTCAAGAGATTATATTTGATCATTGCTTTAGATAAACAAGTTCTCAAATCAGAAAGCTCAGACAGCCACTTTTTATTCTTTAACAATTTTGAATGGCAACTTTAATTTAGCCTTTTTTACCTCTGACATAGACCAATATAAGCACTCTGCATCAAAACTCAAATCTTAAACAGTAGTACAGCATTGGGAAAAAAAAGCAGCTCAAATACATTTTCCCAGATTCAGTATTTCCATTTGTCAAGTCATAATAAAAACCCTTGAAAAAAAATCAGTTTCAAATAGTTTATTCTTCTTCTTGTATAAGTATAAACAATCTGCAAGTGATCAACCAGTGAAATGAACTGTAGGTACATGTTTAGTTTCTGGTTGTTACTACACATACCACTCCCTCCGAGATATTACCGAGCCATCTATGTGAGAAACAAAGTCTTCTTCATTGTCATCATAACATTCATCACGCATATACTTCATTCCCAGTGTTCCACCTTCATAGTAATCCATTGGTCTTTCATAACGTTCCTGGTACATGTTAATATTGTCTATATTGTTCCACTCTTGTTTTTCAGGGTCTTCTAAATAATCTTTAGATATTAAGCTGTTCATTGGATGCTTTATTTCTTTTTTTATACTGTCAGGGTAAGAATCCACATCATCTGACTGAAGAACATCTATTTGAGACTCCTTTTGCATATCTGATGGTGGAATGTAGCTCTTAGCAAAGTAGTCACCACGGAACGTCCGTCTTCTCCTATAGCAGATAATTCCAACCAGAACAGTGCCAAGTATGAGGAAGAACGCCCCACCCACTGCACTACTGATGACGGTACCCCAAGTGTCTTCCTGCATTGCTGGCAAGGTTGATGTTGGGAAATCTATTATTCTAGGTTCTGTTGCTAAACCTGCGATGCCATCAGTCGAAGAATGCCAGGGAACCGTGGGCAGTCGAGTGGTAGTAGTAGGAGGATCTAATGGAAAGAGCAAAGAAGTAGACAAGACACAGAAAAGGCACAGAATGTCAATGCAAGCTAAATCAGTTAAGGGTTTATAAGAAAGCAAAGTTGATGGATATGTTCTACAAGAATAGTTTTTCATTCTCAAGTTCATAAAAGTCTTATGCTTTTCACAGCTTTGAACTAGCTTCATTAAGCGTGATTTTGAGCTACGCTGCAGCAGGACAGGAAGTATGAGGAGAAAATAAGATAAAAATAAATTTTAAGTAGACATCTTGCCATTCTCAAAGTAAGGAGATGCAGCTTTTCTGCTCAGATGTTCACTGCTCATAGTTCATTATTTACCTCCCCCATGGAAGCATGTTGTCTATTAGGAAAAACTCAGGCATTCCTCTGTCTTTCCAGCCAGCAGTTAGGAATACTGTATCAAATTCATTAATTACGCCATGGAGTCAATTATTCCACATTAAATTCCCCACTTCTGAAATTGTTCAGGGCACTGAGTATAAGAATGAAAAACTATGAGTTGTGTGCTCAGTCAGAAGCACAAGAACTACTGATTTTCAAGCTGTTCTCTCCAAAAACATTTGCTGCATTAATACAAATTACTCAGCTTCACCTTGGGATTAGTGAAAGAAGCATAGTTAAAAATGGTATGTATTAATCTCATAATAACACTTACGTTGAGCAAGGAGCTTTCAGGATTTTAAAATAAAAAACCTGAAACATTTGAAATGAAAGGATTTCTATGCATTCCTCCTAAAAGCAATTTGGTCCTTCATGAACGAAGAAATTCCCATATTCATTCCACAGTATAAAATAACAGCTGATTTCATGTCATGTTATACAAGTAAACAACAGATAGCCAGATACCAAGGTTCTCCAGCACTCAGCTTTTTCCTTTGTTCTTTAGGTCTACTGGAGATGTATGCATCTGTATTGAAGACAAGGTTGCAAGTGATGGGCTGATGACACTGAGAAAGCCTCCTGAGATTATCCCAGTCAATTACAATGTTACATGCAACTCCAATTTGTACTTCTGTGCCACACTGAATAAAACCGGCTGTTTGCCTTGCCCAATGCAAGGTAATTTCAAAATCAGTAAAGCAAACACTAAACGCATTATTATATCTTGAATCTTTTAGAAAGAATATTACATGGACAGCCAAGTAGCTCATTATGTCATGTTATTTAGTTAAAGCCCATAAGCAAGACTCATGGAACTACTACTACATATTACTAAGGCACCCTAAATTTACCACCACAAAAAGTAAGATGAGATAGAACCGGAGATTTGTCAAGCTTCCAGTTATCTGATATATCATAACTCTGACGATTCATAAAGGACTTCATCTTACTACTCAAAGACAGTCATACAATTCTCTCACACTAGACAGAATTGCCACATTTGTCATGATCACAACAAATCATATTTCAGACTGCACCTCACTCCTGAACGCAACATTTTAAGCTCGACATAAGTAAAGTTTCACCCAGATTTTCAAAGCATGTAATCATATTACTTGACTATGTAGAAGCAGTGATTTGTTAGGGAGCTATCTATACATGAAATGAATTTGACAGAAGACAGGAAACTGAACAAGGAAGATGCACTACCAAAATGAACAAGCAGTATTCAGATCATGATTTTAGTAAAAACTGATTTAAAGTGAGTTTAATAGTTTAACAAAGTAGTAGAGATTAAGGAATCCAAGTTTACCAGGGTTCCCACGTCCCACAAATCCATAGGTCAAGAATTCAAACCCCTCTTCCTTGAAAATATATTTGCTTTAGACACAAGATTTGATAGCTTAAAATACAATTTCAGACATTACCAGCAATATCTTCAAGGCTATATATACTTATTAAACTGTCTTTCTATTTGTTTATATATTTCCCTCTGATACAGCGATCTTAAGTCTCATCCTCTGCATCCACAATATAAAATACACATTCACAAGTACATAATATTTGCATTATGGCGAGTTTAACCATCACATGTGAAATAAAGTGGCAATTACACCTTAATATTAATGTATTAAAATACTAGTGTCTTACAATCTCAAAATTTTTGTCTCATCCATCAGTTGTCAGGTTGCCCAGCTGCATTATCTACAAGCACTAGTTAACATTAATTTTGAATACACTGCAAATGTAGTATCAATTCAGCATTTGTTTATATGTATTCCTAGAACACATAACTAGGAATACTTCTACTGCAGATTTCCATCAGTACCTTTCACTATTGAAGAACGACAACATTAAAATCATCCCTCCTTGTTTATGAAGTCGACTACAACTAAGAAGAACATGTGAAGTTAACTTCTGATGTCACCCAGAGCTTTCTGAATGTAAAACTAGATTGGTTTTGGTTTTTGGTTCCATCCATCCCCGCTTCCTGCACCAAGCAAGTTTCCCAACTAGAAAACCACA